GTGCAACTGTGAGTTTAAGAAATCCTTCTATTTTATAAAGCGCTAACTTTGTGTGTCGGTTTGTGTATCTGTATGTGTGTGTGTGTGTGTGTGTGTGTATGTATGTGTGTCCGTCCGCAAAATGAAGTGAGTGAGAAGGAAGCTCATGGGATAAACAAACCGCTAACAAATCGGGTAGCTTACAGGATTTGAGATATCAATGTTTTGTAGCAGGATAGTTGTGATAACACTCTTAGGGCTATATAAACACCTGCTTAGCACACTTCCGTTCATTCCACATGGTGCTGCAGTGGCAGCTGGAGGGCAGTGGAGAGAGGAAGGGAGGATGAGGAAGGGAAGCGAAAAATCTACCGTCATATCATGATTGTGTCCCTTCTACTGTTTGAAACACCATTGTGTTGCATACGCGTCACTTCCAGGTGTTGGTGTCACAGGAGGAAGGGACCATAGCGGAGGATAGAAAGCTTGCGCAGGAAAGGAAGGTCCCGGCGGTTGACGGGGGACTAATCTGGTATAAATAAATAAATATTCTAAATGGATGTGAAATGCATGGCGCATGGATTATTCGACGTAGAATGTTTCATCGTTTATCTGTTGCAGGTTAATAAGTATCCAGTGATAATGTACACGAAGGAACGTTGCCCGTACTGCGTATGGGCGAAGAAGGAACTGAACGATGATGGAATATTTTTTGTTGAACGAGTACTCATATCACTGTTGAAATCAGTATTTTAATCAGTGATCCTCTGAGGTTCCGAAGAACAATTAGCTTAGAAAGTTGTTTGCAGAATTTTAGCGATGAAGCCTCAGGGTCACAAGTTTCCAAGCAAAGGGATTGGCGGGACCTCCACATTGCCGCAACCGACCCGGGACGAGGCTTTTGTCTGTGGGCCGCGTAATTTTGAAACGCATTGGCCGCTATCGCACTTACGGGGGCTACTGGGAGGGACCATGCTTGTGCCCACGCAGCAAACACAACCAACCTTGGATTTCTGTTCCAAACGAAAAAGCGCTCATTTCCATTGGGGAGGGGGAGAGGGAGGGAAGGGGGCGCCGGCCTTTTGGCTCGTCCGGTCTGGCCGGCGGCACTGGCGCGCGCGATCCGGCCGCTTCGCCAGGGCCCCCCGCCGCGTGGACGGATCAACTCGCAAGGTTCTGCCGTTTTTTGCTGGTCCTCTGCACGCTGGGGTGAAAGACGTGCGTAGTGCTGTAAACCGTCGGCGCTTGAAATGGCAACGGCAACTAAGATCGTGCTGTTCGCCAATCGGGCGTAACTGTGTTGGGGGCGGTTCTATTGGGGGGGGGGGGAGCGGGACGGGGGCGTGCGCCCATCACCGTGTTTGGAAACCGGCCTATAACAGGTAGGCACAGCGACTTTCGGGTAACAATTTGCGATTCTCGCTGGTTCTCCCCATCGCCTGGCAACGTTCGATTCCCCAATGTGTTGATCCTTGCGGCAACATGAACGCCCCCCATCCCGAAATCCCCCAGCGAATACACATACCTCGTTGTTCAACACTATTCGACATAACCTACCAAATCAACCAATCTGACGAACACTCTACACAGGGCATTCAAAAACCGCTGGTAGGTGACACTAGGACTAAGCCCAGATTGGGAATAAACACCAGGGAGAACAATGGTTGCTCACAACCTCCCAGAATCCTTTCCCCTCCCTAAGGCTTAGTCCCGAGTTCTATGAGTGGACCCACTCATTTCAATGTCCCCCCTAAGGACATGAGCGCCGGATTCTGTTTTATCATTTGAGTAGAGAAAAAAACCGCAAAAAGACTTTCCAAACGATTGTGGCATCGATTCTACACACGCCCAAGCATCTTTCAAATCACTTAAAAGTGTTGAATAAAGCACCTCATCTTGTATGGCTTGAGATTCCTTTGATAGAACTGGAGTGGAAGAACTGCCACCCATCGGCCTATACTAACAGATTAATGTACTACACCCTCCTCATAATGTATATAAGCCCTTTGATAAGCATGCCATGGAAAAACAACAAGTTCTTGATAATAATTTATTTTCTTTCATTGTAATTCATATACAGTAGAATAAATTCCAAGCGATCACTTGTTGAAACACATTTTTTGCATCTACACGAGTATGACTTGAATGGGCTGAAACTAGTCAAAGGATGGAATTTCATGAAGAATACTACCGCCACCGGCAAAGAAAAAATGTAATTAATGACATGTTAAGTAACAATTTTGCATCGAGCCGCATTCAATATATCACAAAACATATCTCAGCATTCTGTTTGCAATGATCAATCAAAGGAGATGAGAGGCTGCTCTGCAATCTCCTGTTGAGCAGGAGCTGTTGTTTCAGTACCTGAAAACCACTCAGAATTCATTGCACATCACATTGAGACGACAATGTCTGACAGTAAACTAGCCACCGTTCACAGGATGTTGCAGTTGGTATCCGCCTTGATGAGTCATTGGATACTGTTGCATATGTAGTTGTTGTTGTTGTTGCTGGGGTGCGGAATTCACATATGGCACAGGAGCAGTATTTTGAGGAGGTGGTTGTTGCTGTTGTGCTGCATCTAGCGGTTGCTGAGAGAAAGAATTATAAAATATTCCGAATTCAATAAACGATAGTAATTCAGACAACATGACATGTTCCTGCTGTAAAAAAGTTAATTCCGTAAATATCGTTTTGGCTTCATGTAACCAGGCCTTGGGAAAGTGATACATTGAGAGGAGCTGCTCACCATGAGGAGCGATTAAAAACATAAGAAAAATTGGCGTGACTAGTTTTAACACGTTGACGACAACGCGCGTTTTGGCTTTTTTGGCCGCGTGGGACCAGCGCGATTTTGCGAGCGCGCCGCCTCAGGTCATTCAAGCGATTTTGAGTGATAAATACATAAAAATGATCAATACAAAATTAGATCAGTGATTTCAT